GTGTGTGTGTGTGTGTGTGTGTCTGTGTGTTTTTATAAAACTTCTTAACTCCAGCTTCACAGTTGCAGCTGTTGAGCTCACTGATGTAAATGAGCCTTTATGTGTGACATGTCCCCTTTAAATGGTTGGAGTAACAGAGGGTGGTGTAGCAGGGTGGAGTACAGACGTGCAGACCTGTAGGAAGATGCGTCCGATGCCGCTGAGCAGCTGCGCTCTCTGCTGGGGTTGGTACTGGATGATGGAGTGATAGGTGTCCACAGCCAGAACGTAGTCCTGAGGACAGACAGAACAGAGGACACAGAGTGACGGAGGGGAGTGGTGGGTGGCGGAGACAGGTGGAGGGCGAGCAGGGTAAAGAAAGAGCAGAGCTTAGGTGTGGAGAGAGAGAGCATTAATCAAACATATGGAGTAATAGCAGGCGGAGTGACCCTCCGTCCACCTCCACATCGCTCACGTGGCGACTGGAGCGCTGAGCGGGCAACAGAGGGGTCAGAGAGGGGAGGGGGGGAGGGCGTGTGCTGGAAACGACCTGCGGAGGCGGCGTGCTGCTCATGAGCACGTTTCTAAATCACCAAAAGTTTAAAACTGGAGACAGATTAAGTTTGAAATCGATACACAGCAGTCTGCAAGATCACACTGTCAAACATGGTGGAGACAGCGTGCTGAGAACAGCTGTGACGAAGATGACTCGCCGCGGCGTGTCCCACAGCAGAAGACGACTGTATACAGAAAGACGTGAACATACACAAAAATAGTCTCAGATAAACAGATATAAGCGTTAAAGGCTTAAACTTGATGAACGCCGCGCCCTCGTTAACAAAGCCTTCATGACGCTGATGTCAGGCTCTGAATGTCACATGACCTGGTTGGAGCTTAAACGTGAATAAAATAAAATCTTTATTCATTCAGAGTCGGAACTCTGCGTGTTTAAATTTAAGCTAATGTAATCTGAACAGGGTGGTGTAATCTGAGCTGCGACCACTAGATGGCACTGTGTCTCTACCCCACCTCTCTCACCCACGCTCGCTCACTCACTGACCAAGAATCCAATTAGTGGTCAGTCTGAGGGGATTTCACTGTGAATCCTCCAGCAGGCTGGCATCAGAGATCTCTGACACAAACGCACACGCGCACAC